TGTACCCAAACTAAAATTTTATCATTTTCTTCACACAACTAGAGCTTTCTTTTGGTGGTATTTAATCACCGCTGGGGTTTTTATTTTTTGCTAAATTAACAAAAAAGTCCAAAAATTTTGAAAAAAAAAAAAGTTTTTGTTTCTGTTATAAAAGTTTGCAAATAAATAATTGTTCTTTATAAATTTAGACCGAGATGTATTCTGCTACATGTCTTTGGTGAAAATAACCCAAATTAGGATGTATTTTTTAGTTTGTAGGAAAGTTAGAGTTCACAAACTATGGTATAGATCTGAATACTGATCAATCCCGAAGTGCTGACAGCCAATCTAATTTCTTGAGGTCCAAGAATGTCAGAACAGTACAGACATCCCCCAAATGACCCCTTTTTGCAAAGTAGACAGTCCGACGTACTTCATAAGAGGCATGGCAAGTTTTTTGAAGTTGTATTTTTTTGTCATAATTTTTCGGAAAATGAAAAAATTAAAAAAATTAGTTTCACTATTTTTTTTTTTTTACATATTGTCACCAGTGCAGTACAGCGTCATCATATAACTGGCATGGCGGTGATCAGGGACACTGACTGGTGACAGTATGAAAAAAAAAAAAATATATATATTTTTTTTTTTTTTTATGTTTTTATTATTTTTTATAAAAAAAATTTTTATTTTTTTTAAGATTTTTTTTTCATATTTCACTATGACCAAAGTAGTACAATGTTACCATAGTAACATTGTACTACTTTGGGGAAGTGATCAGTTTTTTTTTTTTTTTTTTACAATTTGCTTATAGCAAAGAATTACTTTTACCTGAATGACATCGATTCATTCAGGGTTTGTTTTTTTTTTTTTTTTTTGTGCTTAGCTGTGATTTGGCCACAGCTAATCACATGACATGTGCATGTGATTAGCTGTGACCATTCACAGCTAGACACTAGTATACAATGGATGGCATGAATGAAGCCATCCATTGTATACAACTGTCATGTGACCTGCTGTGATTGGTCACAGCAGGTCACATGGTACCGGCAACGGGGGCCGGTACTCAGATCTGTCATCGGCCTTGTCCGAGGTACACGGCCGGTGACAGATCGTGCTGCTGCGCCACTCTGCAGGAGCGCAATCTGCGCATGTGTGGGAGGACGCCATATGGAGTCCACCCGGAAGGCTGATGACATTTGCCGCCCGCCATTCGGCCATAGGGCGGGAGGCAAATGGTTAAAGCCTATGTGTGTATGGACACATAGGATAACATGCTGGGGAGTTTAATGGCTGTAGAAAAAAAACGCCAAAAGCCAAAAACAGCAGCTGTAAAAAACATGCATTGTGCACGAGGACTTACACTTTCCTGGCTCTTCCCCTGCATAGTCTATTGGTAGTTTTCCACATCAACAGATAACATCTGCAATACTTTTCAGGTGCTTTCAGGTCTGCCTGTGTTATCTATGAATGGTGTTTTCCATTATAAAACTAACTTTTATAAGCTGTAAACTTACAGAGAATAATAGCCAAGCTCATTCCTTGAGCTCAGGGCCCATGCATGTCATTTTAAAAGGCAGCTGGGACCAGAGATTACATGGGGTGAGAAACTCAGCTAAGGAATCGCAAGCGGCAGATAGCTTCATAATGTATTGTCTCCATTTCAGTTCTGTATAATAAACATCTGTTGGAGGAAAGAGTAAGGTCATGTTTGAAAATGTAATAAAAGATGCATTTCCCAATTAAGTGCCTTGAGTTATTTATTGGGAACTTCCTATAAGTGACTAATGCTTTGATATTTTTATTTTTTTTTCAATAAACAATACTATGATAACCAGCTTTGGACTTCAAATGATCGGCAAAGCTGAAGCTGTCAATCAGACAGCTGGGGTTAACAAGCCATTGCTCCATTAGGTAATTTAGTGACACCGTGGCTATGTCAATAAAACCCTGCTTGTATCCTTTAGTTCTCCTTGTCAGCATAATAAAACCATAAATCATTTCCCCTCTCCTAGGAAGAAACGCTGCAAAATTATTTTATTGTTACCAACATAACTCCAATAAAACAGTACATGATAAGATTACATAAGAATTCTTATAATCTCTTCCCTAAATTAGTTGTTTTAATAATTTTACAATGTTGTATTAATTAGTTTTTAACATCACAATATACATCAACAGAATATTACAAATTATGTATTTTTTAAAGTCTTTTGTAATAAAAAAAAAAAGCAATTCATGAGCTTCAGTGTCTTTGCCTAGCCTGGAATCAACCTGCACCAGGGAGGAGGAAACAATTCCTCAGCCTCCTCTCCCCTCAGTGATCAGACTGCAACATGATGAGAGACTGTGGCAGGAGCTTTATCTGTGACTTATATTTGTGAACACAACCAAGAACCAGGATTTACAGGGTTGTGCTTTCTCCTGAACCAGTATTTCAGGCCAGAATGCTGACCCAAAATGACACTTGGAACAAAGATGGCTCCTTCCTTCTGAAGAAGACAATGGTTAAGTACTGTGATTTCTGGGATAGGTAATAAACACCTTTATATGTTGAATATACACTTGTCATTAAAATACGTCTGATGTTAGGTCCATTTTTTTTTTTTTCCAAAAAAAAAATAGTTTTTTATTGAAATGTAAGCTTTAGGTAAAAATGTTGCACAGTAACAAATAAGTGAAACAGTACAGTCATTACAGCAATTGAAATGTAATGAGACATTCAACACATAAATGCGAGGGGAAAGAAAACACAAAGAAAAACAAATTGTCAATATATTATCAAATGTCTAGGTGAATAGCACCTCCATACACTATTTGACAGTGACATATGGAGTAATATGATTTCATATCCAGCTTCTAGTAACCCTAATGAGTCTAAAGGGAAATCCCTCCTGTTCCTATCCTTTGAAGCTCTCATAACCTAGTGGGGTGGATATACCATCTGATCTGGGCAGTAAGCACGTGAGTACATAAGCAGTTTGGGGAGCTCATATGATTCTGGGCTTAAGGTAGATGCTAAGTCCACTTTAAATATGTTTAAAGAAGCACATCTATTAGATCATTAATGTAGCGCTACCCCCGCAGGGGCCATTTGATAATGCTTGTCCCCAGTGGTTGCCCTGACCTTGCAAGCCTGCAAACAGCTCTGACAATCTGGGTTCAGACCACTCTTTGTCATCAATTACTGCAACTGCTTCAGAGTTGATGTTGGCCTCTTGGTATCCTCTCTGACCAGTTTCCTCCTGGCTTTTTCATCCAATTTAGAGTGACATTCTGATCCAGGGCGGGTCTGTGTTGTACCAAATGCCTTCCAATTTTTAATAATAGACATCACTGTGCCTCTAGGTATTGATAAATCCTTTGACATTTTTTTTGTTGATCTCCTGACTTGTGCCTGTCCACAACTTTATCCTGGAGATCTTTTGCCAGTGCCTTGCTACACATAGTTGATTGTTTACGTCAGCTGCACTACCAGAGATTGAAATGCTCCAGGAAAGTCAAATGGCTTTTTGTGCCATTGAGAAGGTGATTAGCTACACCTGATTGAGTTTGAAAGTCATTTTTAGGAGGGGGTGATCCTTTTTCCAACTCAGTGATTCTGTTTTTGAATTTGTTTCATTTTATTCTGACATATTGGTGTTCTATCTTTCACTAGGATGTTATAAGCTGCACTGAGTAAATACAGCTGTATAAAATAAAAACTGTGTCTGTCTTCATTTCAACCTGCAAAGCAACAAAATGTTCTTGAATTAAAGGGGTGTGGTTCTTTTCTATACCCACTATATATACACTGCTCAACATAAATGTGTACACCCCAGCAGATTTGTCAGAAAACCTTTACTTTACTTTCAGTATCAACATTTTCTAGGGCACGTTATACTACAAAATCTTCCCACAAATTCTGGCCACTGATTACAAACAAATTTTGTTAATTTGCACACACAAAAAAGTATTTTTCCTAACAAATTAATTCAAAGCCATGTTGCAAAATTGAATACACCCCAATGAAAGTCTTAGGAGCAAAGCTAAATTTTAGACAACAAAATCTTAATTAACAAGAATTCAACTACAGATGAGTCTAATTATTCATTAAACAGGTGTCCAGCAGACAGTTGATTATAAAAGGGTGTTACTTAACAAAGAAAACCCCTCCCCATGTCATGCTGTCAGCAATGGCACATGGAAAAGAAATGTTACAAGGTCCAAGAAAGAAAATATATTCTTTACATAAGAACAGCGAAGGCTACAAGAAGATCAGCAAAGTTATACTTATCAGTCAGAATACTGTAGCAAAAGTGATACAAAAATGTAACAAAGATGGAACTGCAACCACCTCACAAAGACATCCGGACCATCCACGAAAGTAAACACCTCAACAGAAGCGTCTTCTGATGAGAAGGGTTGAAGAAAAGTGTCATGCAAGTTCACTGCAGTTAGCTAAAGAAGTAGAAAACCAAACTGGGGTGATTGGTTCCGTGACACAATAGGGCATACATTGCTGTGCAATGGCATGTATGGGTGTCATCCACAAAGGAAGCCTCTCCTAAAGCCCATGCACAAAATAATCAAGCATCGCTTTCCATCCAGCATCCAGGCTCTAAAAGAGGTCGTTCTTGAAGAATGGAGAAAGATAGATGTTGCAATATGTATGCAATATGCAATTTGTTCATTCCATGCCTAGAAAACTTGGTGCTGTCCTGGATCATGGAGGTCATACAAAATGCTAGATGTAGTAGTTTTCATTCTGGAGTGTATTAATTTTTACATCAACTTATTTGAGTAAAAAATGTTTTGTCAACATATTGGAAATTGTTCTTGTGTTCATTGAGATATTGATTAAAATATTACTTTTCAAAATGGGTGTACTCATTTATGCTGTGCATTGTGTGTGTGTATATATATATATATATATATATATATATATATATAGCCAAAAGTATTGGGACACCCCTCTAAATCATTGGATTCAGGTGTTCCAATCACCTCCATGGACACATGTGTATAAAATCAAGCAACTAGGCATGCAGACTGCTTCTACAAACATTTGTGAGAGAATGGGTCCCTCACAGGAGTTCAATGAGTTCAAGCGTGGTACCGTAATAGGTTGCCACCTGTGCAATAAGTCCATCTGTGAATTTTCATTGCTACTAAATATTCCACGGTCAACTGTTAGTGGTATTATAACAAAGTGGAAGCAACTGGGAACAACAGCAACTCAGCCATGAAGTGATAGATTACATAAAATGACAGAGCAGGGTCAGAGCATGCTGAATCGCACAGTACGCAAACGTCACCAACTGTCTGCAGAGTCAATAGCTAAAGACCTTCAAATTTCATGTGGCCTTCAGATTAGCATAACAGCAGTGCGTAGAGAGCTTCATGGAATGGGTCTCCATAAACGAGCAGCTGCATGCAAGCCTTACATCACCAAGTGCAATGCAAAGCGTCAGATGCAATGATGTAAAGCACTCCACCACTGGAGGATAGAGCAGTGGAGACATGTTCTCTGGAGTGCCGAATAACACTTCTCTGTCCGGGAATCCAATGGATGTGTCAGGGTTTGGTGGTGCCAGGAGAATGGTATTTACTTGACTGCATTGTGCCAAGTTTGGTCGAGGGGGGATCATGGTGTGGGGTTGTTTTTCAGGGGTTGTGCTTGGCCCCTTTGTTCCAGTGAAGGGAACTCTTAAGGCGTCAGCATAGCAAGACATTTTAGACAATTTAATGCTCTCAACTTTGTGGGAACAGTTTGGGGATGGCCTCTTCCTGTTCCAACATGACTGTGCACCAGTGCACAAAGCAAGGACTATAAAGACATGGATGAGCGAGTTTGGGGTGGAGAAACTTGACTGGTCTGCACAGAGTCCTGACCTCAACCTGATAGAACACCTTATGGTTGAATAAGAGTGGAGACTGCAAGCCAGGACTTCTCGTCTGACATCAGTGCCTGACCTCACAAATGTGCCTCTGGAAGAATGGTCAAACGTTCCCATAGACACACTCCTAAACCTTGTTGACAGTCTTCCCAGAAGACTTGAAGCTGTTATAGCTGCAAAGGGTGGGCCAACTTAACACTGAATCCTACAGACTAAGACTGGGAAACTATTAAAGTTCATGTGCGTGCAAAAGGCATGCGTCCCAATACTTTTGGCTATATACAGTTGCAAGAAAAAGTATGTGAACTCCTTGGGATTACGTGGAGTTTTGCATGAATTGGGCATAAAATGTGCTCTGAATGTCATCTAAGTCACAACAATAGAAGAACACAGTCTGCTGAACATAATACTACACAAACATTAGATGTTGCCATGGTTTATTTGCACATAACATGTAAACATTCACAGTGCAGGGAGGAAAAAGTATGTGAGGCCCTAACTTAATGACTTCTCCCAGAGCTAATTGGAGCCAGGAGTGAGCCAACCTTGACTCCAATCAGTGTGATGATATTGGATGTGTTGCTGACAGCTGTCCTGCCCTTAAAAAACACACACCTGTTTTGGGTTTACTGGTTTCAAGAAGCACTGTCTGATGTGAACCATGCCTCGCAGAAAAGAGCTCTCAGAAGACCTACGATCAAGAATTGTTGACTTGCATGAAGCTGGAAAGGGTTACAAAAGTATCTCCAAAAGCCTTGATGTTCATGTGTCCACGGTAAGACAGACTGTCTACAAATGGAGAAAGTTTAGCACTGTTGCTACTCTCCCTAGGCGTGGTCGTCCTGTAAAAATGACTGCAAGAGCACAGAGCAGAATGCTGCATGAGGTAAAGAAGAATCCCAGAGTGTCAGCTAAACACCTACAGAAATCTCTGGCACATGCTAACATTTTTGTTGACACATCTACAATAAAAAACATTAAACAAGAATGGAGTACATGGGAGGACACCACGGAGGAAGCCATTGCTGTCCAAAAAGAATATTGCAGCATGTTTGAAGCTTGCAAAACAGCACCTGGATGTTCCACAGCACTACTGACAAAATATACTGTGGACAAATGAAACCAAGATTGAGTTGTTTGGGAAGAACACACAACACTATGTGTGGAGAAAAAAAGGCACAGCACACCAACATCAAAACCTCATCCCCACTGTAAAACATGGCGGAGGGAGCAACATGGTTTGGGGCTGCTTTGCTGCCTCAGGGCCTGGACGGATTGTTGTCATTGATGGGAAAATGAATTCCAGAGTTTATCAAGACATTTTGCAGGAAAACGTACGACCATCTGTCCACCAACTGAAGCTCCGCAGAGGATGGGGGATGCAACAGGACAATGACCCAAAGCATACAAGTAATTCAACAAAACAATGGCTGCAAAAGCACAGAATACGCCTTCTGGAGTGGCCCAGTCAGAGTCCTGACCTCACCCCGATTGAAATGCTGTGGCATGACCTTAAGAGAGCGATTCACATCAGACATCCCAAGAATATTGCTACACTGAAACAGTTTTGTGAAGAGGAGTGGTCCAAAATTACTCCAGATCGTTGTGCAGGTCTGATTTGCAACTACAGGAAACGTTTGGTTGAGGTTATTGCTGCCAAAGGAGGGTCAACCAGTTATTAAGTCCAAAGGTTCACATACTTTTTCCTCCCTGCACTGTGAATGTTTACATGTTATGTGCAATTAAACCATGGCAACATCTAATGTTTGTGTAGTATTATGTTCAGCAGACTGTGTTCTTCTATTGCTGTGACTTAGATGACGTTCAGAGCACATTTTATGCCCAATTCATGCAAAACTCCACGTAATCCCAAGGGGTTCACATACTTTTTCTTGCAGCTGTATATATAGCTATATTCTGGCATAAATGGTATAGACACCCTACCTTAAATAACAATGGCTTAGATGTGAAGAGGTCCCTTTAACTAGAAATAGTAAGTTGAGTTCTGAGATGTTTAAAGTTCCTGATGTGATAGTAGCAGTTGTCTTCTGCTAGCAATGGTGGGGCCCATATACAGCGGGGAGTAATGGTAATTCAATGAATATAACAGGCTTTGGTAAATGCTCAAAGCAAAGATCTCTTGGTACTGAGTGTGTAAAGGTGTCTTCATGCAGTGTTTCTAGAGTGTTGTCAGAAAGAGGTTGGGCACACGCCAGCTCACCAATCCCATGGACTGCAGTGCCTCCTAGGAACAGTGTTCTTGCACAGGCTCTTGTCAGAATTACTGCCTGATAGCCTGTCAGAGAAAAAAGCAGAGATGACTGGCTGAAGAGTAGATAGTGACAGTTATGATGCAGAGAGAAGCTGATGAGATCCCAGGTGTGGCAATTTGCGTCACTGCTGTGCTGAACTGGCATACAGAATCCCGCAGTAGTATCCAGCAATCTGTCTCTGGAAGAGAGCAGCAGACCCCCTGTGTTCAGTGCTGCAAGCCAAGTGAGCCAGCTCCTTGCTATAGAATATATGCTTTCCCAGCAACCTTTTGGTTCCCCATCTCTCTGGTAGTTATAGTTCAATCAGCACTGAGAAATACAGTATGTATTGGCTCTAGGACTACAGGACCCAGGATCCTCTGCTGACAAAAGAAATGGATGCACTCTGCTAACAGGAGGTGATGTAGCAGTCCCAGTAATGGGCACTAAGGGGGGAAAGAATTAACCATAGTCTCATCTGTAAATGTCCATGAATAGCATAATGATATACTGTAGCCAGCACCCAAGTTGTGAGATCTAGTGATATGTCTTGGTCTTCCACAAATTGCTCCTAATTGTGACATGATCTTCACCTAATACTGAGCAAAGGCAGCCTTCCTTGTTTTATGTATTTTTTTTCTTTATTATCACATAAAATGGCTTCTAAAATGCGTTCTGGTTTTTAGGTTTTTGTTTAAATATCATATCCATGTTGAACAAAGTGTTGAAAAAAATATATAAATCTATAGTATAATGACATTTGAGAACAATTCAAGTCAGATAATCTGTTCAGTTTGGAATTATTTACTAAAGAAGAAGATTTTTCACTTAGCAAAACGGCACTCACTGTTCCAGGTGGACATCGTATGATGCCCTCTGGGAATGCGCAGTATGTCACAGATAACTGATCAGTGTACCAGCCTCTGCAGGTACTATGTGATCTCTGTGACCAATCACAGCAGATTACATGACAATTGTACACAATGGAAGACTTTCATTCATGCCATACATCCATTCTGTACTATTGTGTTGATCGTTGGATTGGTCACAGTAATCACATGGTACAGACAGGGCCAGTCACCGCCCAAGTGTACCATGTGATTAGCTGTGGTCAATCACAGCTAAGCACAATAGTAAACACTGAATAAATCAATTTAATTTAGTGAAAATGGTTGCTTGTAACAGTAAAATTCAATGATATAGGCAATCATAAAAAATACAAATAAAAAACCTGATCACTATATTGCTCTGGTCACAGTGTGCTAAAAAAAAATCCTAAAAAAAATAAAATATATAGGATAAAATGAAAAGAAATACATTTTTTTTTCTTTTTACATACTGTCACCAGTCATTGTCTCTGATCACCAGCACACCAGTTATATGATGATGCTGAACTCAGACATGCTATACAAGCTCACAAGTACTTTATCCCTCATCAGATCCAAGTCTAGGCTGCTTACTGAGGTATTACAGGCTTCTTTGCGCGATGGTTTAATATCCCACATCTACAAGCTATTACTATCCTCTACCCAGGACCAGGTGAGTCTTTTAAAATCTAGGGCCCAGTGGGTTGCGGATCTGGGGAAGATATTTGGGGGGTGATCGTTGGGATTTCACATTGGAGTCGGTACCTGTATCACCCCTGTCAGCCTACACACAAGTTATCCCAACTATTTATGCTTCACAGGGCATACCAAACACCAGAATGGTAGATTTCTTTGAATGGGGGTAGAAGAGATACACCTTTGTGCCCAAAGTGTATGACACACAGAGAGGGAATTTATTCATGATTTGGAGATGTCCAAAATTAGCAGAGATATTGGGAGGATGTTTTGGGGTTGTGTCTTCCCTCTGCCAGACTTCTGTCCTTTCGGATCCATTAGTGTGTCTATTGGGAGCGCTGGACCCTGAGCTGTACTCTCCGGATATGGTTATTTCATTATAACTGTATATGTTATATTTGTCTGACCTACAAGTGCCCTCTATAGCCAAAAACACTCAATTTCATGGTGGGGGTTGAATAATTTTGTCACACTGTCATGATTACCCATGACGCACACTGCGTAATGAATCACTAAAGAATAAGAAGAGGGACAGCAGTATGCCAAAAAGCCATGTGGACAAAAGTTTATAGTGTCTTTGGACTGGAAACAAAATTGAACTGTTTCAAATTCTCATCTCTTGTATTTAGCAAGAAAACTAATCGCTAGATATTGGCTGTCTAGTACAATACCTTCTAAGAAATGCTGGGTGGAGTATGTTAATTCTCTCCTTTTACTAGACCAAATTACCTATCGTCACCTTAATGCCCTACTTAAATTTGAGCTAATCTGGCAGAACTGGTTAGGTACGCCCGGCT